TCAGAAATACATTATTTACGACGGAGTGGTCAAAAAAACTATTTGCAACAAGCGTTTTTCCGATGACTTCCAACGGCAATTTGATGTCGAAAAATGGTATTTTCGACGACAAAACGCCTTTTCCAATCATAAATTGCCCTCGCTAAAGGCATTCTTTTTTGTAGTACATAACTGCATGAATTGTGGAACAAGACAAACGTGGTTAAGGGCTGATCCCGCATAACTCTCAGTGACCTGGAAAAGGTCAAGATGCATATAATGTGCAAAATGAAGCTTTCATCCCAAGGTTGTCGCCAGGTATAAAAGTGAGGCTTCACATCTAGATTGAGGTATGCGATTTCAAATTAACTTGTGTACTCAAATACATACAAAAACTGACTTGAGCATTATAATAACCTTTGCAGGTACCCCACATCTCTCTCATTTGATTTCGGAGGAGTGTTGCTTGAAGATTTCATTCAATTATCCGTGTGTGCGAAGTAAAGCCGAGAACTTGTGGAAGATATTATTATTGTAAGAATTTCTGCTGCAACAGTTGTTACCATTTGTGAGAACTCTTACAAAATCAATCAATAGTTGGATCCGCACAAGACGTTCCAAACCGATCTAATCCTCGATATGAAGATGTCATACCAAACTTACAGAAAGGAGATCCTAGTCTCGCATCCATCCAGCTCAAGAAGATACTGAAGAGTTACATGAAACAAAGAAGATGGCGGCTAAAGCTTTGGAGAAATCCAAAGGCAATTATATGTCAAATTCAGAAGGCCCCAAGGGAAGCAAAAGGAAGGAAATGATAGAATTATCCGGAGAAAGTACCATAAGGAGTATCCACTCCATTGATCGCACAACGACCCTGAAGACAACCACGGCCATATGAAGGAACTGAAAAAATTCAAAGACAGTGAGCTGCGAAGACAGATCGAGAAGATTGTCAAGGGATACAAATCGCAAACACATGCCGAGTTGACCGTGGAAGCTGCAAAAGGGATCTGCAAATCACCCTTCACCGATGATATTCTGAAGACTAAGAAGCCCGCGAAGTTTGCACATCCCAAGTTCAAATTCTTCGAAGGCATAACTAATCCCATCGAGCATATTTATCATTTTCAGCAACAGATGGTCCTCAAAAGCGAAGACGAAAGGTTGTTGTGCAAACTATTTCCGTCAAGTTTGTCGAGGTCGACATTGACGTGGTTCAGGCAGTTGAAGCCAAAGTCCACCGGCATCTTTATTGAGCTTTGTGATGAGCACAAAATTAATACAAGTTTTATCCTTAAATTTATATTTGTTAGTATTTTCTTTTGTTTTATATAAATCTATTAAAGTATTTTTATTGTTTCTTTCCAATCTTTGTTTTTATATTTAATGAGTGGTTGTTTGTAGATATTAAGTGTCTTCCACCAATAGCATGTTGAGGAAAAGAAGTAAGTAATGTGTTGCAAGAAGAAAGTAAAGGATGAGAAGAAATATGTGCAGCCAAAGCCAAGGAAATTTGCTCGAGACAACTTGTGCAGCAGCAAATGCAATTGAAGATAAAACAAATGAAAAGAAGAAGCAATCAATTGCATGAATATACTCTAGGACATGCATTACAACATTGTTCAGCACAACGCAAAAGGCAGGCGAAAGCCTCAAGGATTATTTGAAGCGATTCACAGAGGAAATGTTTACTCTTGAGACGTATGATTCTCACGCTGCTTCATTGGCATTTAATCGATCCAATCAGTGTTTCAATGGATTGAAAGTTTGAGGTATTCATTGTAAATTGATAAACACAAAACAAACAAGGAAAAAAAAATGTCCCCATAGATCTTTACTTAAACATTATTAACTCAAATTTGTGGATCATGAGTTAAACATATTCCAAAGCAGTGAATTATTGAGGTTTGAATAAACTTCCTATACAAGTAACCTCTCATCTGTGGATCAAGAGGTTCCTTTTTAGTCTATGCAATCCTTTTCTTCATGTTGTTCCATCACAATTATTTATCACCCCTCTCATCTGTGGATCAATAGTTGTACAAAAGGCTATGAACTGTGATGCAAATCTTGACCAATTCATCAATTGAAAACTACCTATGTAACAGTTTAAGCTGTTGTGGCTTGCTTAACTTATGCAGTTGTAATTTTCATTCTTTGATCAAAACCCTTTCAAGCATGATCATACCTTATCACATAAGAGATGCAATTGTTTTTTACTACATGCTTCATTACTAATGGTCAAATAAATTTTATGCATATCTTGCAAAATCGAAAAGTTAGATTAAAGAACCTAGTGCTCTGATACCATATGTAAGTCCTATCAAGTCTTTGAACTCTAATACTAACCTTGATCTGACATGATTGAAGGGTGGAAATAAGGATCTTCTTCTCCTATGCAGTCTTTACTCTCTCTCTCTCTCTCTCTCTCTAAATGGGGTGAGATTTCTGTATGAGTGTATCGACTGCTAGGGAAAAGACCTCTATATATATATATATATATATATATATATATATATATATATATATATGCATTTACTTAAGTGTTTTATCCATCAAGAAACACTTAAGTAATTATGATTGCATTAAGATATGATGTTTTAATCCGTATAAGACCAAGAATCCTCAAAACATTAGTGTTCTAATTTGTTTGCAATTAGACTAGAGTTGCAGACGTGCTCGACATAAACCAATACAACCTCCTCGACTCCTCATGTTGTTAAAATATCATATCTCATGGATTAAGACAAGATATTTGTCTTACAAGAAATGCCATAAATTCAATGACGCCATCGACGTTGACACTAATGATCTGCATGATATGAATATAAGACATGATATCTATACTGGTATAAATTGTTTAAGGCAAGGAATCATCTAGCTCACCACAAATCCGTTACGTTATAATGAAAATGGACTCATATATAAGCACCGCTTTTTTTTTTTTTCTTTTTCAGTTTCAAGGTTTCGCTTGCTTTGTTTTTGTTAGCACTAGCATAGCTGCATCGTTGCTCATTGTTTTAAGACATCTTTTTTCCTTCAAGTGTTGCAGTCAATTCATATGGTGAATGGCCTTCGATGATTTAGCAGATTATGTTGGTTGTCTTTAGTGGTAGTGGATTGGTTAGTGGAAATGTTTTTCTTCCTAGGATTTGGTTTCAATTATTTAGCATGTGTCTACTCCTCCTTCAAGATATCACATACCTCATTAAATGACAAGTTGTTTTTTTAATTTCTTTCTCAATTAACGATAATTTACAGCTACAATAAAATTTGATTGCGAGAAAATCACAGATTGTGCTCTCTCTATTATGATTGTTCAATAATTCAATGCAATAGTTTAATTTATTGAACTATTTTGATATCTATTGAATTGAACTGCAGTTTTACTTGCAATGGTACAATTCAATAGCTTCAGTTTATTAGCACGTGGATCCCACAGTTAGCCTATTGCAATTCAATAGAGGGTTCATCACACATAGCACCCTCTATTGCAATGAACTAAATCACACCATTACAAGTAATATTTTACTGTTTTAGTTCAAATTCATGCAATAAAATTACATTGATCCTAACCACTGCAAATACTCATACTGTAATAAAAACTGGCTCAACTCTACGTTGCAAAACAGCCACTGTGGTAAGCAAGAAATAGCATATGAAAGATAAGTTTTATTTTAATCATCAAAGTAGAGTTGAGCCAGTTTTTATCTTACATTGATCCTAACCATTGCAAATACTCGTACTATTTTAGTTAATTCATAATATGGTATCTTTTACATATATTTACATGGATGTGGGAATAGGTCAATTTTTCACGAAACTATCACCATGCTTGTCGATAAAATGGAAATTTCGTAACGCCAGTACAAGGTGAAAAAAATCTTTCGCTAAATGCGTGGCTGGAAATAAGTGATTACAAAGTAATCTGGGAAGGACTCTTAGCATGTTAAGATGCCATGCTGGTCATCTAGGCAAAAGGCAGACATGGACAAGTGTACCAGAAAACTAGATCTTTCTGATCAAGCTTACTACATGTAACAAATCCACATATTATGAATCAAGTGCATCAACAATTTTGTCTTTCAGATCAACTTCAAATGAAACTATAAGCAATTCCAGTGCAGCACCAAATTTGTCTTACCAACCACGGCACTCAAAACCAACGCACAGATCACATTCATGTTAAAGCACAGTACCATCCAAATTGACCCATCTGATACAACTCTGTATTCTTTCTAGTAGCTTGCATTGAATCAATTACCTAAGAAAAGTTTATCCAAAGTTCAGCATCTAAACTAACCAGATTCACAATTCAGATACACAATTTATAGATGGAGATACATAAGACCAGAGAACAATACTTGAGGTGTTGAACCCCGCCAAAATTGTCGCAATCTTCGGTACCATGACAGATAGAAGGGAAAATGTTACCACAATGTTGAACATTTCTAGGTGCTCAAAAAGATTGTAAAACAGTAGGTAATTATCAAAATGCAATTGATGTGAACCACCCCTAAATACACTGTTTCAAGGTGCCTATTGTCCATGGTCAAATCAAACTACTCAGTTATGATAAACTTTTTTTAAAGACATAGCTCTTCATTATATTACAGTATATATCTCCAAAGCCTACAACTTGGGGAACCATCTGATAACTAATTGTATATGTAGGTGCATTGCATGTTAGTCACAAAACCTCTAATTGATCGCATCGCAACGACTAATCGCAGTTTTACTTGCTACTATACATGTCGAATAGCTCATCAACTCTAAACTCCAGCTAGAGGCCTTAAGATCAGCAATAATCAGATAGAAGGTGATTCCATCTCTTCAACTTGAATGACTAATCAAATATAAGACACACTATTCATGTGCAAATGTGATCAAGTCACCGCCACATAGCAAATACATGTAACAAAATTTCAAACAGACAAACAAACACAAAGCATTGCATTGGAAACAAAAACCCAGAAACTTGACAGCAACTAATTGATTCACAAACAGAGTCAGTTATAAATTGAAAAATAGTGATTGTTATTGGTTTTATCCAAGTAAAATTATTGTGATCACAGAAATTACAAGTTTTCAAACACTTTTGATTTTCAAGTCTCTGAATTTCCACTAATCATATCCGCAACTAAAATAGTTTCCAAAAATCTCGACGACTGACCATGCTTACCAATTAGGTGTGTGAAAAGGTACAAAATCATATACTTTTTCTTTTCCAGTTGACAGAGACAAATCAACAAGCACCTAACCGGCTATGCATCTTTCTTGCCAATGGAATCCGAATGCTGCTCCGAAGCGGCGGCATTTTGATCCTTAGAACTCTCAGCAGCCTTTTCCTTCTCCAATTCCTTGACAGCCTCTGCCTCAGCGGCCTTCTCAGCCTGCAATATGGGCTGGTAGTAATCGGGATGAGCCTCCATACACTTCTTCAAAGCCGAAGTGACCTCAAAGCATTTCTCAACAATGTCCTCCTTGTTCTTCTCAGACTCTTCAATGCACTGTTCCCAAGCTGTGAAGCTCTCTTTGCAGCCACCGCCTTTCATAAACACGCAGAACCCACATTCACCGGGCTCCTCCTCATCGTCCTCCGCTTCCTCTTCTTCTTTAGACGCGTTCTGTGGATTCCCTTCAGCTTCCTGGGGCTTCTCTTCGTCTACGGGTTTGGAATCTGATTCGGGATTTGAGGCCTGCGTTGGAGCTTGGTGTTCCAGGGTTTTAGAAGTTGAATCGGCCATCAGGTAGGGTTTAGGGTTTGATGCGATATGTTTGGTGGTGGTGAGCCGGGTCGGTGAGAATGGTTGAGTTATGAATTGTTGTTGTGGGTGGCGGTAGAGAACAGAAGAAGGTGTCAGCTGATCAAGGCAAACCCCATGACTGCTCAAAACCTACCAAGATTGGTGGACTGAGAAGCGGAATATTGGCCGGGCCGGCTCAGGCCCAGGGTCATTTCCTTTAGATTTTATTTAAGAGGGCCGGCCTCTCTGCACAACTTCTTTTTCATTAAAAAAATAAAAATAAAAATACCACTTAAATGCGTGTGTGCCAATTTGCTTTTGTTTTTTTCCCTTCTGTTTTATTCTTTTATTTTAAAAATATTGATAAAATTAAGAAAACCCTTTAAAAAAAAACCAAAAGAAAATAAATATTGATGATCTTTAAAATCAAAAGTTTGGGTAACAATTAAAACTCTCATGATAACGTCTTAGTTCAATTAAGACTAAGGGTGAGTACGGTTTGAATTGGATCGGCTTTACTTTAAAATTATAACCAAACAAATTACAATATAACAGTTTAGTTTGGTTCGATTTTAATAAAATTCATGAAAAAACAAACCAAACCAAACCAATTTAAGATGGTTTGGTTCGGCCGGCTTGTGCCTAAACCCAATTTTTTTTCCTTTTGCATTTTTCAATATTGTTAGCCTAATTACAACCAACAAATTCATAACTTGCTCCATAGTTAAATAATTTTCTAGAATACGAAACCATCCTAAAGCTCAACATCCCATAAAACTTCACATTTCAATAATTAATATAGCTCAATTCAAATATCCATTTATAATTATTTGATAGAAAATATGTTGAAGTTTATCTAATGAAGTTTATCTTTGATTAAATAAAATAAAATAAAATCTCTAGTTGGATTGTTTTGCAAAGATAATCTTTGTATAATTATTTGCAGAGCCAATTGCGATTGTAATACATGTGGGTGAAAACTCCTTAATCATAATGGAATGGACAGTTGCCCAAAATTTCCTTCAGAAGTTAAGCCATAATATTTTAGGATCAATGTAAATTGCTCAAAAAGATTAATTTAAATTATTTAAAGCATAAAAAATAAAAAATAAAAAAGATGTATCTTTTATATGGCAATGACTGCGTGGTAATAGTTGGTGTTTCCAGGGGGAAAGAAGATAAAAACAAAAAAAGTGAGTGAGTGGTGGCATTGGCATTTGAGACCCACCGCCAGTGCTATTAGGCCATGTTTAGTTGGCTGGACTAGATCAGATTTCTCCAAACTAAAATATGATGAATATCATTTCTAACTAGAACACATAAGATCTTTTATCACTCTCAAATCTCAACAATGTTGTTGTTATAGCCCCTTGAGATTTTGCTTCATATGTGAACTACATCACAGGTTTTCTCAAGTGGCTGAGCCCAAACGTTCATGGTTTCTTGACATCAAGGCATGCATAGCCACTCAAATTTTGTCCCCAGGAACAACCTACGCAACCTAATAAAATATAATTTATTGTATTTTTCAGATTCCAAATTACCCCTCATTACAATTTACATTTTCTCAATAATTGTGTACATCGGTTCAAAACCAATGTAATTTATTCAGTCAACATTCGATTCAAAATATATTAGATTATGATTTTTTCAATCAAATCCAATCAAATTATAGGTTTAAATCCAAATTTGATCCAATCGAATTGATATTGGATTGGATGATCAGTTTTCATAATTTAAAAAGAGAATAATGAAATATAAAACATTTATCATTATGTTTAATCTAATCAAACATATTAATAGACTTAAATGTAAAATCCAATTCACCAAATCACCAAAATTGATTAAAATTGGATTGGATTGAATTGGATCGATTGGTTTGAGCATATTGGATTGGATCTTGCACACCCCAACCTAATTTAGTGTATGCCCTACTTGCAATTTCATTTCTCTATGTGAAGTAAACACATGAGTAATCTGTCATCATAATTCAACTCCTTATTTTAATTCCGATTACGAATTAGAGAACATGCCATTAAATACACTCATCTTGAAATCTAAAAGGTCTTCTAACATCTCTCTTATGTTTATTCCTTGCAATGCTCAAATCATTAAATGATTCGTCATTGGGGCTAGTTTTCCTAGTTGTCTTCACACTTGGCCCTGCAATGGGGATAATACTATTTTGTTATTTTCGACCATTAATGAGACCCAAAAAAAAAAAACCATTAATACTATGTCATGTGAAAAGATTATCACGCGTGTCATAGCGTTGTTAATCAAGAATATTAAAACAGTGTTATTGCCGTTTAAGTGAAAGTTGTCTCTCCCAAATTTCTAAACTTGCGGCAAAGAATATTCACTGCACTATGGAGGGACCTACACATCTGAAAGCAACAAATGATCATAGATATGAAGAGAAGACGAGGAAGAGGGAGGAAAGAGAGACGATCGACATAAGAAAGGAAGGAAGCAGAGGAGAAAAAAATAATATGGATATCATCAGTATACTGCCTGCAGAGTGTATCTCCCACATCGTTTCCTGCACAACCCCTCAGGACGCGTGCAGATCATCGCTGGTCTCTCATCTCTTTCGAATTGCTGCGGATTCTGATATTGTGTGGGAGAGATTTCTGCCCCAAGGTTATAAGGAAATCATTTCCAGTTCTTTAAATTCCTTGTCCAAGAAGGATCTCTACTTTCATCTTTGCAATCACCCCATCATCATAGGCAATGGTAACATGGTAATTAACTCAAACCCCATTCTTTCATTTTTTTTCTTCTCTAAATTTCTATGATTTATTACCTTTCCTTAAAGAATCAAGAATTCTCTTGGGTCATCATCACCCATTGCCATTGGATTCTTAAGTTTTAATAGGATTTAGATACTGGGAAAGATGTTGGATTTAAGAAAGAAAAAAAAAACTTATTGAATTATTTTGAACTTTTGATTTTTGCAATTATATGTAATAGAAAACTCATTGTTGGAGATGATTTACTAAATTTGCTAATTTATTTACAAAAATAAAAAAGAAATTTGAACATCAACAAGCTTGATTATCTGTCTGTGGGAATTAGTGTCACTGGGTGGCATGAATAGCTAAGTTTGAAAGATGATATCAATGGCTAAATATTAATGATATACTATGACTATGATTGGGAACCATGGATGACAAGCAACCTCATTCCTATCTTCTTTTCTTTGACACAGAGCATGGCACTAGAAAAGCAGAGTGGCAAAAAATGTTATATGGTAGGGGCAAGAGAGCTTACAGCTATATGGGGAGATACACCCCCATATTGGCAATGGATATCTCTACCAGAGTCTAGGTATTCTATTCTCTCTCACCACCATTATCTTACTATTTATCAATTCAATTATATTTTTGAGTGATGCTAATTCATACCTGAGTTGTAGGATAAGTAATCTTTTATTGGAATTGGATACTTTATGACCAAAAAAGCCCTGCATCAGAAAGATTATGTTATATGTGAATCACATGACAGGTTTTCCCAAGTGGCTGAGCTCAATTATGTATGGTGGCTTGACATCAAGGGATACATAGAGACTAAAAACTTGTCCCCAAGAACAACCTATGCAGCTTATTTTGTCTATCAGCTCTCATCACAAGACAATCCAGGGACTGCAGCAACTCCTGTTACGTTGTGCGTCGCTTATGAACATAGCGCAGTTGCTGTTGAGCATAGTGTGATCCTAGACCCTGTAACTTATGAAGGTACAGCTCCTCCGCATGCTCGATACAGAGGCGATGGGTGGTTTGAGATTGAGATGGGTGAGTTTGTCACCGAAGAAGATAATGCTACTGTAGTGTGTAGTCTAGTGGAAACTAGTGATTACAACTGTAAGAGCGGCCTCATTGTGGAAGGCATTGAGCTTAGGCCCAAACAATGAAGGATTGATTCCTTGCACAAGTCACAGGAGGGGAAGAAAGCTTATAAACGAGTGGGAGTAACGTTGCCTTGCCATTTCTCATCCTCTAGTAAGCGTCCGTCTTTTATTGTGCCCTTTGAAATTATAGATTATTATAAATAAACCCAATCCTAGACATGTATTTATAAAAAAACCCACGCACTGTTGATTATGGCTCAACTTGCACCGAAAGAACTTTGTGCTATCATGTGGGAGGATGCTGTCATGTGGGGGCAGCAGCTTGTGGGCAGGGCACAAATAAACGTTTACCATTGCATAGATAATATTTGAGAGAAATGCCCGCAAAGGACTTTGAACTAAAATCTAACTATTTATTACCTTAATCGGTTAACAGAGACTCTGAAAAGACTGATGATATGATATCAATGGCTAGGCTTCTTTTCTTTGACACAGAACAGATCATGGCAGTACTAGAAAAGCAAAGTGGCAAAATATGTTATATGGTAGGGGCAAGAGGCTTGCAGTTGTATCTTGACATATGATATACCCACATATTGGAAATGGATATCTCTACCACAATATCCATTATGTATTTTCAGTGATGCTAATTCATACATGAGTTGTAGGTGTAGGATATAAGTAATCTTTTATTGGATACTTATAGTCCTCAGAAGAAGCTAGCATGATTCAAAGATTGAATGCATTGACATTTTGATGTGTATATAACTATATATATATGTGAATGAATCGAATCATAGAACAACCCATATGCAGCTTATTTTGTCTATCAGCTCTCATCAGACTACGATCAAGAAATTGCAACAATTCCTATTACATTTCGTCTTGCTTATGAAGAACATAGCGCAGTTGCGGTTGAGCAGAGTGTGATCTTTTCTTTTCTAACAGAATGAAACATAAATAAAATAAAATAAAATAAAAGAATGAAGTTACTAATGAGATCTTAATCTTTTCTAGTCCAATAAAAAAAGGTATTGATGACTTGCGAGGTCTCAGGTTCAAACCACCATGGCATCGTGTTTGAGAAACCCCTCTCTCCGCAACTTGGTGTATTGTATTATGACTCACTCTAATGCGGATTGTGGGTGATTGGTTAATGGCTTGTTGCATGTCTACTGTAATAGCAAGGGCGTGAGGATGAGATGACTATTTAGTAAGTTGAGTTTGTATGATGTGTGATATGAAGAGATCACCAGGAAGAGGAAGGGAAGAGACTTGGATCGATCGACGACATAAGAAAAGGAAGGAAGCAGAGATGGATTTCATCAGCACGTTGCCAGCAGAGTGCATCTCCCACATCGTTTCCTGTACAACCCCTCTGGATGCGTGCAGATCATCCCTGGTCTCTTCCCTCTCTCGAATTGCTGCGGATTCTGATATAGATTTCTTCCCCAAGACCAAGATTATAAGGAAATCATTTCCACTTCTTCCAACTCCTTGTCCAAGAAGGATCTCTACTTTCATCTTTGCAAACACCGCATCATCACAGGCAATGGTAACATGGTAATTAACACAAACCCCATTAATTCATTTTTCTAAATTTCTATGATTTCTAAATTTCTTGATGCTCTTGGGTCATCATTTGGTGTTAGATAGTAGCTAGGTTACTGTGTGGCATGAATAGCTAGGTTAATTCATGAAAAGACTGATCCATGATATCAATGGCTACCTATGTTGTGCAAAATATTAACAGTATTACTTACGTTAATTATGAATAATGGACGACAACATCCTAGCTTCTTTTTCTTTGACACAGATCACGGCATTACAAAAGCAGAGAGGGCTGCTGGTTCTCAGCCGAGCAAACTTCGAGAGATCCTTGAGAGTGATCAACCCCCTTGCCTCTTATAGGCCTTTCCCAACCGACTTTGGCAGTGGGCCTTGGCATAATTAGACCCTTGGGCCCGTAATGGTGAGGCCCAGACACAATATCGGCCTTGGTCATAACCGTGCGTCAACAATATGAAGAGAAGATGAGGAAGAGGGAGGAAAGAGAGACGATCGACATAAGAAAGGAAGGAAGCAGAGGAGAAAAAAATAATATGGATATCATCAGTATGCTGCCTGCAGAGTGTATCTCCCACATTGTTTCCTGCACAACCCCTCAGGAAGCGTGCAGATCATCGCTGGTCTCTCATCTCTTTCGAATTGCTGCGGATTCTGATATTGTGTGGGAGAGATTTCTGCCCCAAGGTTATAAGGAAATCATTTCCAGTTCTTTAAACTCCTTGTCCAAGAAGGATCTCTACTTTCATCTTTGCAAACACCGCATCATCACAGGCAATGGTAACATGGTAATTAACTCAAGCCCCATTCATTCATTTTTCTAAATTTCTTGATGCTCTTGGGTCATCATTTGGTGTTAGATAGTAGCTAGGTTACTGTGTGGCATGAATAGCTAGGTTAATTCATGAAAAGACTGATCCATGATATCAATGGCTACCTATGTTGTGCAAAATATTAACAGTATTACTTACGTTAATTATGAATAATGGACGACAACATCCTAGCTTCTTTTTCTTTGACACAGATCACGGCATTACAAAAGCAGAGAGGGCTGCTGGTTCTCAGCCGAGCAAACTTCGAGAGATCCTTGAGAGTGATCAACCCCCTTGCCTCTTATAGGCCTTTCCCAACCGACTTTGGCAGTGGGCCTTGGCATAATTAGACCCTTGGGCCCGTAATGGTGAGGCCCAGACACAATATCGGCCTTGGTCATAACCGTGCGTCAACAATATGAAGAGAAGATGAGGAAGAGGGAGGAAAGAGAGACGATCGACATAAGAAAGGAAGGAAGCAGAGGAGAAAAAAATAATATGGATATCATCAGTATGCTGCCTGCAGAGTGTATCTCCCACATCGTTTCCTGCACAACCCCTCAGGACGCGTGCAGATCATCGCTGGTCTCTCATCTCTTTCGAATTGCTGCGGATTCTGATATTGTGTGGGAGAGATTTCTGCCCCAAGGTTATAAGGAAATCATTTCCCGTTCTTTAAACTCCTTGTCCAAGAAGGATCTCTACTTTCATCTTTGCAATCACCCCATCATCATAGGCAATGGTAACATGGTAATTAACTCAGACCCCATTCTTTCTTTCTTTTTTCTTTTTTTTTTCTAAATTTCTATGATTTATTACCTTTTCTTAAAGAATCAAGAATTCTCTTGGGTCATCATCACCCATTGCCATTGGATTTTTTAAGATTTAATAGGTTTTATATACTAGGAAAGATGTTGGATTTAAGAAAGAAAAAAAAAACTTATTGAATTATTTTGAACTTTTGAATTTTGCAATTATATGTAATAGAAAACTCATTGTTGGAGATGCTTTACTAAATTTGCTATTTTATTTACAAAAATAAAAAAGAAGTTTGAACATCAACAAGCTTGATTATCTGTCTATGGGGATTAGTGTTACTGGGTGGCATGAATAGCTAAGTTTGACAGATGATATCAATGGCTAAATATTAATGGTATACTATGACTATGATTGGGAACCATGGATGACAAGCAACATCCTTCCTATCTTCTTTTCTTTGACACAGAGCATGGCACTAGAAAAACAGAGCGGCAAAAAATGTTATATGGTAGGGGCAAGAGAGCTTACAGTTATATGGGGAGATACACCCCCATATTGGCAATGGATATCTCTACCAGAGTCTAGGTATTCTATTCTCTCTCCACCATTATCTTACTATTTATCAAGTCAATTATATTTTTGAGTGATGCTAATTCAAACCCTGCATAAGAAAGAATATGCTTTATGTAGATTGTGACCAAAAAAGACCTGCATCAGAAAGAATACGTAATATCATTGAGATTTTGATCAAGTATGAATGACCTTGCGAATGTGTGATGTTTGTTGCCTTCATAGTGAGTTTGTGGGGTTTGACATTATATATAGTGTCCTCAGAAGAGAAGCACGGTTCAGAGAAAGTAAAGTGGATATGGCTACCTCTAAACCCTGACATGATTACTGTTACTAAGTGGAGTAATAGTCATAGAAGAATGCGTTGCATTTTGATGCATATTTATATGTGAATGAATCGCATCACAGGTTTGCCCAAGTGGCTGAGCTCAATTTTGTATGGTGGCTTGAGATCAAGGGGTGCATAGAGACTAAAAATTTGTCCCCACGAACAGCCTATGCAGCTTATTTTGTCTATCAGCTCTCATCAGAACACAATCCACGGACTGCAACAACTCCTTTTAGGTTCCATGTTGCTTATGAACAAAGCACAGCAGATGAGCGTAGTGTGATCCTCGATCCTATAACTCATGAAGGTATAGCTCCTCCGCAAGCTCGATACAGAGGCGATGGGTGGATTGAGATTGAGATGGGTGAGTTCATCACTGAAGAAGATAATGCTACTGTGCTGTTTAGTCTAATGGAAATTAGTAGTTTCCCTAAGAGAGGCCTCATTGTGGAAGGCATTGAGCTTAGGCCCAAACAATGAAGGATTGATTCATTGTGGAAGGCATTGAGCTTAACTGAGACTCTGCATTTTCATTTAACATTCATTCAAAATAATCTTCGTTGCTCATCCAATTTTATTGTCAAGTGCTTAACTTATGACTACACTATTATTTCGTCAAAATGCAAACGAACATTTGCTGCCAAAGTAATTTGGGGGGACCAAAACATTTATAAAAGCATTGGGTAAATTTTGACTTTTTTTATTATAAAAAACTCAGGCTAGACATCATTGACAAGTTTTTTTATTTTTTATTGTTTATTAAAGACCCCATTGACAAGTTATAAAAAAAGGCATGAATAAAGACCCCATTGACATTGATCAAAGAAAAAAAAACAAGACCCCATTGACAAGTTATAAAAAATAAAAATAAAAAAAATAAAAGGCGTATTCACCCCCAATGTTTGAGTTACATGTGTCGCCACATCCCCAATGCTAGAGAAGATCGTGAATTTCCCTCGGTCCCTTCCCGTTGATTAAAATTAAAATAAATATATAAAAACAGGTTTTGTCAGTTAAGTGGGTTGACTTGAATTGGAATTGTGCTCAACTCTATGACCTGATGAGGAAAAAGGGGGGAAAGAGAGACGATCGACATAAGAAAATGAAGGAAGCAGAAGCAGAAGCAGAGATGAGTATCATCAGCATGTTGCCTGCAGAATGTATCTCCCACATCGTTTCCTGCACAACCCCTCGGGATGCGTGCAGATCGTCGCTGGTCTCTTCCCTCTTTAGAATTGCTGCGGATTCTGATATTGTGTGGGAGAGATTTCTGCCCCAGGATTATAAGGAAATCATTTCCACTTCTTTGAACTCCTTGTCCAAGAAGGATCTCTACTTTCATCTTTGCAATCACCCCATCATCATAGGCAATGGTAACATGGTAATTAACTCAAACCCCATTCATTCATTTTTTCCGAAATTTCTATGATTTATCACTTTTCCTTAAAGAATCAAGAATTCTCTTGGGTCATCATCACCCATTGCGATTGGATTCTAAGATTTCATAGGTTTTAGATACTAGGAGATTTTTGCAATTTATGTATTAGAAATCTCATTCTTCGAAATGCTATTTTATTTATTTAAGAAAAAAGAAATTTTGTTTGCCAATATTAGATAATTCATGAAAAGACTGATGATCCATGATATCAATGGCTATGGCTACCTGACTGTTGTGCAAAATGTTAACAATAATGGATGACAAGATCATCATCCAAGCTTCTTTTTTTCTGACACAGAGCATGGCACTAGAAAAGCAGAGTGGCAAAAAATGTTATATGGTAGGGGCAAGAGGGCTTTCAATTGTAGGGGGTGATACACCCAGATATTGGCAGAGGATATCTCTACCAGAGTCTAGGTATTCTATTCTCTCTCTCCACCATTATCTTACTATTTATCAATTCAATTATATTTTTGAGTGATGCTAATTCATACCTGAGTTGTAGGATAAGTAATCTTTTATTGGAATTAGATACTTTATGACCAAAAAAGCCTTGCATCAGAAAGATTATGTTATATGTCAATCACATGACAGGTTTTCCCAAGTGGCTAAGCTCAAATATGTATGGTGGCTTGACATCCAGGGATACATAGAGACTAAAAAATTGTCCCCAAGAACAACCTATGCAGCTTATTTTGTCTATCAGCTCTCATCACAACACAATCCAGAGACTGCAGCAACTCCTGTTACGTTGCGTGTCGCTTATGAACATAGCGAAGTTGCGGTTGAGCATATTGTGATCCTAGACCCTGTAACTTATGAAGGTACAGCTCCTCCGCATGCTCGATACAGAGGCGATGGGTGGTTTGAGATTGAGATGGGTGAGTTTGTCACCGAAGAAGATAATGCTACTGTAGTGTGTAGTCTAGTGGAAACTAGTGATTACAACTGTAAGAGCGGCCTCATTGTGGAAGGCATTGAGCTTAGGCCCAAAGAGTGAAGGAATTCACAGGAGGTAGTGGGAGTAACATTGCCTTACCGTTTCTCATCCTCTTGTAGGCGCTTCAGTCTTTTCTTTTGGTGTGCCCTATGAAATTATTGTCCAAAACTTGCCTAGTTTTCTAAAATTCCCAGATATAAACTAGTAATGGTTTATTCTAATGTATGTTTTACTAGTTTGTATGTTAAGATTTGTGTTTTTTTATAGGTCACAATCCACGGACTGCAGCAACTCCTGTTACATTGCGTGTTGCTTATGAACATAGCGCAGTTGCGGTTGAGCATAGTGTGATCCTAGACCCTGTAACTTATGAAGGTACAGCTCCTCCGCATGCTCGATACAGAGGCGATGGGTGGTTTGAGATTGAGATGGGTGAGTTTGTCACCGAAGAAGATAATGCTACTGTAGTGTGTAGTCTAGTGGAAACTAGTGATTACAACTGTAAGAGCGGCCTCATTGTGGAAGGCATTGAGCTTAGGCCCAAAGAGTGAAGGAATTCACAGGAGGTAGTGGGAGTAACATTGCCTTACCGTTTCTCATCCTCTTGTAGGCGCTTCAGTCTTTTCTTTTGGTGTGCCCTATGAAATTATTGTCCAAAACTTGCCTAGTTTTCTAAAATTCCCAGATATAAACTAGTAATGGTTTATTCTAATGTATGTTTTACTAGTTTGTATGTTAAGATTTGTGTTTTTTTATGGGTAATGTATTGTGGGCACAAATAACCTTTACCATTGCATCAATGATATTAGTGTTTTTTTTGTTTCCAACTATTCAGGGATGTTTTGTGATAAAAACTTGGTTAGTGGACTTGGTAAGAACTGCAGGGAGTCTTTCAAAATTTTAATTTGTGGGATTGTTTCTTTACAGTTTTGACCATATTTATTATTATGTTTTTATACAAGCAATATTGGTGATGGGGAATTCAACTTACGACCTAGAATGCAGAGGTAAATGCTCTTAACTATTTGAGCTACAAATCCCTTATTACCCTTTCTTAATTAATGCAGGAGAAAAAATATTAATTTAAAAAAGAACATTGTTAAAACTTAAACGTGGTACGCGTATTGATAAACTATGAGATTGAGATTGAAACAAGGGAGTGACATCCGGTTCAGGGAAAAACGCTAAAAACAGAAGCAAATTGGGGACCATTCAACTTATCAACCATATTTGGCCTTTCCTTCAACCGGTGATTCAACATATCCAATTCCTTCTCCATACTTTCCACTTCCATTTCATCTTCTCGCCTCCGTCTCACCCACATGGAATTATTCCGTACTTGTTATTTTTACGTGCGCCGCAAGTAATCCGTTAATGTTAAATGTGATCATTTGGGTCTTGTAGCTAAAATACAATCGGAAAAGCATCACAACATCAACAGCACAGATATGGCAACTTCATCAAACTCATCAAAGAAAACAATGTCGTCCTCACCCTCATCTGCAGGCCGTCCACCGCAGGGGGTCAAATTTGCCCGCCGCACGTCCAGTGGGCGTGTGATGAGCTTGTCTCGGGACGACGATTTGGACATGAGCGGGGAATTCTCGGGCGAAAATGACTACATCAATTACACCGTGATGATGCCCCCTACACCAGACAACCAGCCAATGGCGGGGTCATTGGGTGCAGGAACGGCCTCGGATTCAAAAACTGATGGTCCGGGGCCATATGGGCCGTCACGGTTTGGAGCGGAGTCCAGGCGAGGGGGCGACGATGATGGTGGGGGTGATAGTGAAGCTGCAAAGGCGGATAGGAGAATGTCAGTGATGAACTCATCTAATAACAAATCAATACTGTTGAGAAGCCAAACTGGGGACTTTGATCATAATCGTTGGTTGTTTGAGACCAAAGGAACGTATGGCATTGGAAACGCATATTGGTCAGAGAAGCAAGAGAACAAGTATGGACCGGAAGTCGAAATGAACATGCAGGATTTTATTGACAAACCATGGAAGCCACTCACCAGGAAGGTTAAAATCCCCCCTGCTATTCTTAGCCCTTACAGGTACCTACCTGCTTCATCAATAACTAGCTCCTTAACAAACAATTCAATAATTGTGTCCATTAATTAATGCATATAAATACATTTATGTGCATTTGTTCTCTATTAAATCTCACAAAAAGATACAAAGTCAAGGGGATTGAAAATAAGATAAGAAAGTAAAAAAATTGTAGCTCAAGTGGTTAAGAGCATCTCAGGTTTCATTTACTATTCCCTCCCCAAATATGGCTTTGTAATAATTGGGTATACCCAAAAGATCCGAACTATAGAAAGAAACAATAAAATGAGAGACAGAATGCCTTCCCACCAACTAAGAGAAGAAACAATCATTTCCATGAGGAGCCAAGTCATTAGCAAGTCCAGCATATTTAATTGTACATATATGCAGGTTACTGGTGGTCATCCGTTTGATAGTACTGTTCCTCTTCCTACTATGGCGAATCCAGAATCCAAACCCGGATGCAATGTGGCTATGGGGCATGTCCATAGTTTGTGAGATTTGGTTTGCATTCTCATGGCTTTTAGACATTCTTCCCAAGCAGAACCCCATAAATCGTGCCACGGACTTGGCTGCTCTACATGACAAGTTTGAGCAACCTTCTCCCACCAACCCTACTGGGCGCTCTGACCTCCCCGGTGTTGATGTCTTCATCTCCACTGCCGACGCTGAGAAGGAACCACCTCTTGTCACTGCCAATACCATTCTTTCCGTCCTTGCCGCTCAATATCCCGTGGAAAAGCTTTCATGCTACATTTCAGATGATGGTGGTGCCATTCTCACCTTTGAGGCCATGGCCGAGGCTGTTAACTTTGCTGAGGTTGGTTCAATATTGTAATTTCATTAGTGGTGGTAAAAAAATTAAATAATGACATGAAACTTATCATGCAAGTAAATTTCTTATCCAAAAAATAATCATGCTATTCTCACAAGAAGAAAAAAAAACATAAATAAGTAGTCATGCTAATTGAATTAATTTGATTCCTGTCAGTTAATTAGTTCTTGCTATATATTGTCCAAATATACCTACATACATACATATGCACTGCAGGTTTGGGTACCCTTTTGCCGAAAACATGAAATTGAGCCTAGGAATCCAGACAGCTACTTTAGCAGCAAAGTTGACCCCACCAA